GGTGATTTACGTGTAAGAAGAACAGTCCCGTGTTCCTAAGGTCTGTGTGTGCTAAAACTAAAATATAAAATACACCTCGTCCTAGCAGGCGGGGGATTGGCGTCGGCTCTGCAGGGTAGTAAAGATGCTTTGTGTACGCTTCCCTGGGGCACCAGGGCAGAGAGCTGGGAACGTGAATGATTACGTGTTCAGCCGCCGTCCATGACGCTTCCGTGCTGCAGCCTGGCCTACTCGCTGTCACTCTTGTCCACCAGTACCGCGTCGGACTCCTCCGTGATCTCCAGCAGCGTGTGCATCTCGGGGCTCTCCCCACGCAGCAGATCCGAGTTCTCTCCCTCCTCTCCGCCGACCTCCACCAGCTCCGTGGCTTTCACCTCCACCTCGCCCTCTCTTATTTTCTTGACATGGAACGTGAAGGGTGGCACTTTGTAGACAGCTGTCTTGGACCTGGCGTAGATGGTGTGGTCAGGGGTGAAAGACTTCCTCAGCTTGTCCCGGGAGGTCTTCATCTTCTCTCTCCTTTCGTTAGTCACAATCTTGGTGCCCAGTTTGTTCATCCTCTTCTCCAGGTTGTGACGGGTCTTCTCCAAGTTGTGGCGGGTCTTCTCCAGGTTTTCCTTGGTCTTTAGCTTAGTCTTCTCCATCTTCTCCTTCGAGAATGCCTTCTTAAAGTCATCCACTCTCTTCATGCCGCTCCTCTTGATGCGCTCTGCCCGAGACTCTTCGATAATCTCTTCAATCTCCACCTCCTCATCCGAGGAGAGCTGGACGTGGTCCTCCTCCGCGTGGTCCTCACCCACAGGCACCTCCTCGCCCTCTCCTTCCTTCTCCAGCTTTTCACCCTCCTTCAAGGACTTGCTGATGCTCAGCTTAGACGGCAGCTTCACTTCATCCTGCAAGACACAGAGCGGAGCCAGTGAGACACACAGGCCCAGCCTCCCCCCCCCCCCCCGCCAGCAGTGCCCTGAAGCAGCACAGCTATGGCTCCACGCCAGGCCTGGGCTCGTCCTCCTTCGTGCCCCGGCTCAAGAGCGATGAGGAGGATCTGCCCGAGCGCAGCAGCTCAGGGCTCTGCTGCTCAGGTATCCAGCTCCGTTCACCCTGTGCTGGTTCCAAACCCACCGACTCCAGCTGTGCAGGAAGAGACAGGCCAGCTCAAACTGGAGGCTTTTCCCTTCCTCCTGTGCCCCTGGCAGTCCCGTCCCCTCTAGTTTCATCATCATCCCAGTACCTGGCCATTGCACACCCCCTGCTCCTGGCCCCAGGAAAGCCCCTGCCCACATCCTGCCATGGAACCACTACAGCCATGCGGTGCCCCTTTACTCCCCAGCATCTGCCCAGATGTTCTGTCTCCCCAGCCCAGGGTTTCAGCTTTCTTCCCGCAGTTGGTCTGTCCCGGCCTGGCCAGGGTCCGGCCCGCAGCAACCCTGGCGCAGCAGAGCACTGGGCCGCAGATGGCAGCACAGGCTGGAGCTGGGAGTCTGGCCAGGCCGCCCGGCCTGTGCTCCAACTTTCCCAAGGCCTGCAGGATCCAGATGTGGGACTCGGACATCTCTTGGGATGGAGCAGGCTTCCCTGGTTTTCCCATTTCTCTGCTGGGGAATGAGTTAGGGAATTTGTCTGAGCCCAAATCCGAGGGCAGCAGAGAGGGCCGGATCGCACAGCTGGCTCCACAGGGTTACGCTGGCTCTGCTCGGGACCGGGCTGGATTCATTCAGCTTCTCCGCTCTCCCGGGTCAGCCAAGTTCCTGATCCCAGTGGCAGAGGACAAGCATGTGCCTGGGAGAGGGGCACAGGTCTGGAGCGGGATTGGTTTTCATCTGAGCAGCACATAGCGTGCGTCTCTGCCGCAATGAATCACCTCTCTGATCCCAGGACAGGCTGGAAATAGCCCGTCGCTGTACGGAGCGTCACAGCTGCGGGGCTGCAGCCCACGGATCACAAATTCATTGCCTGAGTGGTTTTAATCCACGGACCTGGGTGGGAGAGGCGTGGAGCTGCTGAGACAAGCACTGTCCAAAGGGCACACAGGGAGCAGAGCAGCGGGGCTGAGGTTTGGGGAAAGCCCAGGCAGCAGGGTAGGCAGGCACTATTCCCAGCCCTGGGGCAGACAGGAGCTGAACAGCACAAGGATGGGGATCCCAGCCCAACACTGGCAGGAGCAGGGCCCAGTGGAACTGAGGAGCAGTCCCCGGGGTACCCCAGGCCCGAGTGCTTGAATCATGTGGCAAACACCTTCCCTGGGCTCAGGGATGCCGGCAGTGGAGTGTGTTGCATCCCATACCCTGCGCTCTCCCCACATCACTCTGACGCGCTGCGGCTCTGGTGGGCTGAGGTCAGTGCCGTGCTGCGGCTCCGGCTGGAGCCCTCGGCCACGCAGGATGCTCCCTCTGCGGACACAGGGCTGGAGTACGTGTTTCTAAGTTGGAGTAAGTTTATGGAATACGTGACGCCAGCACAGCTTCACCTGGCTGAAGTTCAGATGCTCGTAGCTGCTCTCTTGTTCTTCCGCAGGCGCAGGACAGCGCAGTTCCTTGGGCAAGCTGGAGCTCTGGAGACATGAGGGCATCTAGGGAAAACTGAACCCTGGAAAGTCAGCTCCGTGGAGTGCTGGGCTCAGAGAGGGCGACACGGGCTGCAGTGTCCATGGTCAAAATGCAGAGTCTGCCCATGCAGGGGTTTTGTCTTGGGTTTTATTCAGAGCAGAGTGCTGCTGGGCAAAGCTCTTCACCCTCCACATCACGGCTCAGGTCCCACATACACTCCGGAGGTCAAGGTGGAGTGGCCAACATGTGTTTTCTTCATCTGACTCAGAAGAAAACAATACTCATGCTCTCCAGAGGGTCAGGTCAGTCCAGAGCAAATCCACGTCCCTGGGAAGGCAGGGATCCTGTTCTCCACAACAACACCTGCTGGAGCAATCCCAGACTCCAGGGGCCCCTGCCCCACGGAGCCAGAACATCAGGAACTCCAGCCACTTCCTTCCCTTCGTGTACACACAATGAGCCAGAACAAAGGCATCCCCCTCTCGCCTGGCACCACTGTCCCTGGAAACAGGCCATATCCTGCAGATACTTATCAGCCCTGTGTAGCTCCAGAACATGTGTGTGCGGAAAGAAACACCCCAGAACTTCCATGTCTGGCACACAGTAACGACCCTTCCTTGTGTTACACCAGCAAATCCATCTTCTGGCCGAACTCTCCGATGTGGCCGAACGAGCTGCACCAGCAGCACACCCATCCGACCTCGGCCGCGTCCTCCAGCTCTCTGCAGCCGTGAGGACACGGCCAGCAGCAGCTCCCGGTGCCGGGGCAGCTAGAGCAACCCCTGCTAGGGAGCTGGTGTGGCTCTCTGCCATCCCCGCTGCTCCACCCTAACGCTGCAGGATCCCGACGCCGCAGCCCCACGTGTGCACAGACCCCCAGGTCTGTCTCTGCCTGCCCCACAGGCAGCTGTCCTGGCCCCAGCCCAGCATCGCTCTTGTGCGAGGGACTGCTCCCGCCTCTCAGGAGGCACCCTCGCTGCTCCGACACGGAGGCAAAGGGAGCAAAGCTCTGCCCAAAGGGATGGCCGCGATCCCAACCTCCCCCTCAAGGCTCTTTGCAAGAGCTGTTTTCCAGCTGCGCTTGGGAAACCCTTTCAACCTTCCCCCGGCCCCTTGCCCGCGGGGCGAGGGGGGTGACATGCCTGCTGCAGGGCTGGCCGCAGCCGAGGGCCCCTGATTGTCCCTCCTTTTCCTACGCCTGCTATTGCTCCTGCATGTTTTCCCGCTGACTCTTCTTCGCTCCGATTGCTTACGGAACCATGGGTAACCAGCTGGGGACAGCTGGGCCATGTCCAGCGTCGTGCTGTGCGGCTTTCCTGACTCAAAGCCCACCTGCATCCAGGGA